GGATGACTGCCAGAAAGGTGGATTGGCAAAGTGGCAGCATCAATGGGCTCAAGTGTGTCAACAATTGTGAGGTCAGCCCAGGACTGGGCACTGTTTTCTTCTGTTGTGCATAGGGTCTCTATGAGTTGGTATAGACTCAATGGCACCTAAGAACAATAACATCTACACAGTAGTGTATACTGGATAACTAAATCTAAACAAATGCATTGCTGTGCACAATTCAGCCTCTCTTGCCAGCAATCAGCATGAGAGAACAGTGTAAATGTGGTTGTAGACACTTATGATAAAGACATTTGGATTTTTCTGTAAGTAATTTTAGTTTGAAATTTTAAGGTAATAAGAAGAATACTGTGCAGAGAGGAGTTCCCATAATAGGTTAATGACTGCTATCCATAGGAAGGCCTGCTTGCAGAGTTGACCCTCGGCTGGTATCTGGGAACTTGGCTTTCGGAGTGTTCAGTCAAAGTTAACTGATATAAGGCTAGTTCACTGTGCCTTGACAGTTTGTGCAAAAATTATAGCTTATGCTGAACCACCTCCTTTCCTTCTGGGAGTCTGGAATTTTGGTATGTTGCATAGAAGGTAAAGTACCTCACACACCCCCAGTAAAAACCTCCATCACTGAGTCTAATAGGTAGAAACAGTACTGCTTTGTCAGTGCTAGGGATAGAATACATTTTGTTTAAAATTGTCCTGGCTCTGGGTTCTGAACTCCTGTAACTTCACGAGGGGGAAGAGAATCATTATCTGCATCAACATCCCAAGGCTGATGTCTTCAAGTTAGAGGTCAGACTGGCCTCAACCCTGCAAACTTTGTACCAGTTCTGCCATCAGCTGTCCCTCCCATGGCACTCTACTTACCTTCTAGGTTTGATGATTTATTGCAGTAGTCACACAGATCACACTGGAAGTTCTGGGGTTTGTTAGGGAAATAACAGGTTACATTTCAGGTGCATGAATGCTCAGGATAAAGTTCTTCGATCAAGGAAACCTCTTCTGAACAATGCCTACAGGCATATTGATCTCTGTCCCACGGCCCTGCAGCCCCTTAGCCTCTGCCCTGCTCCGACTAGTATTACCATGCTCTTTCAGGTATCCAAGTGCATGCCAGCAAGCCTTCTGTGGGAAGGCATTCAGTTTTCTTGTTCTGTGGCTGGGAAGCCCACTGTGCTGTCTCCTGCTGGTCACCTTATTCTCCTGTTTCCTGTTGGCTCTTTCTGTCTACCGTGTTACAGCTCCCTCTTGTTCTGTCTCCTCAGTTGAGTAGGTCCTTGGCATAGAACCAGGCTCCAAAAGATGTACTTTGCTCCTGTCTCTTCTTGTAGGTGGTCAGGAGGTCCCCCTCTCTGCCTCTGGGATGGTTCATTTTAAGCCCAGTGGAATGACAAAACTGACCACTACCTTCATTATGGTTCCATACGCACTGCATGATTTCACCCCAACAAGCTTGTTAGGCACCTAACAATCTTCTTGGTGGGCCACAAACACCTCATTTGCATAACCCCACCCAGTTATTTGGTGGGCGTTACCAAGTATGGCTAAACAAGCCATATGAAATAATTCACTGTACCATTCTTGAGAGGCAGAGAACATTAAAAAGACTACACATGGCTTCCTACAGACCCCATCTATCCCTTTTGTCCCTTATGACCCAGCTTTATGTACTGCCTATGTTACTGGAATAAAACTGTCGTGCATACAAGAAAATACTGAGGCACCAGAGAACTTTTTTGCAAACATCTGAATGTAGGGGTGGTCTTGGGGGAAGGTTGGCACAAATGCCTCACCTTTATCAGTCTCTTAGTTTATATCAACCTTAATACTAATTGTTTTACACAGCTTGTGTCACAGTGCTCTCTAGGCACGCCAGTGCTATCAGCACCGCTGGACTGAAGCTGTTCGAAGCTCCATGAGATGAAGTCATGTGTCCAGGTCCTATAGCTTATCAGTTTACATCAGAACCTCCCCTCCTCCCCCTCACATGTTTGTACCTCTAGGTGTACTGTTTGTGCTGGCCTAAGGAGGGTTTACTGGAGTATTCCTTTCATTTTCTTTATCATTTCAGATATGAGCACATCCTCACAGAGCCTGATCCCGTACCAGCGTATGGCCTGAAGCTGCTGGTTGCCATGACTGAACATAACCCGACTTTTTCCAGGTATCGTAACTTCAGATTTCCTAGTCTTTGTTTCTCATTGGTAAATGAATTCTCTGTGGTTTGAAATGTTAAAAGATGATGAGATTATCATTTTTTTGTAATATCTACCTTTTATGATACTGGTTTTTTTGGAGGGTGGTATCTCATTTTAGGAATAACTTTGGTGTCCGATGTGCTAGACGACGTCTTTTTTTTTTTTTTTTACTTTGTGAATTGGATGAAGGTTTACAGAGCAGATCATCATCAGTTTGACTCTTGTTCTCATATTTTTTGCTTTTTACTGGAATTTGAAAAACACTGTGCAATGCATGATGCTTTCAATGAGCAGTCTTTTGCCACTTCTTGGATATCACAGCTCTCTGTCCCTGGATCAAGGAAGTTCAGTGTACAGGAATCTCATGATGCTAAGGACACATTCCCCTCCTGACTCTTGTTTCTTGAAGGTACTGAGATTCCTCTTACTGCTTCTGAGATGGCCTATTTAGAACCCAGCAGGATGGCAAACTGACCAATCATCATATTAGGGTTGTAAATGTTTGCAGTCTCAATTAACCATGTTAACAGTCCCTCACAGCTAAATCATATAATCCTGTCAGCATCTTACCACCACCTTCTCTTACCCAGACCCATGAAGAAGAGAGGTAATACACCCAATGTATATGGTCCCACCCAGTTGTTTGTTGGGAGTTACAGCGACTATGGCTAGAAGAGCCTTATAAAATATTGTACTGCATCAGTAACTAAATACTAGCACATATACTTGGAAAAAAATAGTCAATTGATGCTTCGTATTGTATTGAACAATTTTATATTTAAATCTCTATGAAATTTATAGGCTATTACTTGCTATCATTTTTTTAGTCTACATAGTATCATTAAGTAGCATAGAACTTTGGTCTTTATTGAAGGAGAAGCTGCAGAGAAAACTAGTCTAGAATTGCGTATCTGCTTTCAGTGCTGGAAAGAACAGGTTGTCTGAGTGAGCAATCAGGTCCACAGAAAGAAGAGAGGAGGTCCTGTGTGCTTCCAAATGAGAAAACTAGTGTTAGTTATACAAGTGATGTCTGAGGACCTTTTGGGGTTGGAAGGTGTACCTCCAAAATTTCTAGTAGATCTTTTTTTTTTTTTAATGCTTTATTGTGAATTATGTGATAGTTCACATGGGAGGACATCAGCTTCATATTGATCCTGTCACACATTGTTTCCTTGCCATGGTCACAATCCCCTCCATGCACCATCGACCAACCAAAGGGTGCACCCCACAAGCCTGCCCCCCTGTCGTCCACACACTGCCCCTCTCCCTCTCCAGGTCCAAAGTCTCCAGCTACTCCATCTCTCCACGTCATCATCTCTGCCTCTATCCCTGGCATCACTGCTTCTCTGGGTAGGGTTCCATTCTCTGCTCTTCTCCTTCGATGGTCCTAGGAACCTCTGCTCCTAGACTGTAAGGTTAATCACTCCCTTCCATAGATCTTTTCTTTTTGCGATATAGTTTTTGTGACAAAATATCTATAACACAGCTCTTGTCATTTCAGCCTCTGTTTTGTGTACACTTCAGTGTCATTAATTATCTTTCTCATGTTATGAGAACTTTACCCCTTATCCTTTTAAAACCTTGTTGTTGTTGTTG